GAATCTGGCAATGAAGCTGTCTGATTTTCTTTGAGGGCAAACTTTTCATTATGGATTCAATCTTTTGCTTGCTTTCGTCTTTTCAGGTTTCTATTTCTTCATGACTCTGTCTTGGTAATGTTGCATGTCTAGGAATTTGTCCATTTCTTCTAGGTTATCAAATTTGTTGGTATATTCTTGCTCATAATAATCTCTCATGATCTTTTGTACCTCTGTGGTATCAGTGATAATGTCTCCCTATCATCTCTGCTTTATTTGAGTCTTTTCTCTCCTTTTCTTCATTTATAGAGCTTGTCCATTTTCAAAGAACCAGCACCACTGCATTGTTCTTTTGTATTTTTTTGTCTCCATTTCATTTATTGCTGCTCTAACCCTTTATTTTTTCTTTCCTTCTGCTAATTTTGAGTTTGATTTGTTCTTGTTTTTCTAGTTCCTGGAGATTCAGGATTAGGAGTTTATTTTAGTCTCCTTTTTTCCATGAAGGCATGGATTGATATAAACTTCCCTCTTACGTTTTGTATCACATAGGATTGGGTATGTTGGATCTCCTTTTTCATTTATTTCAAGAAATTTTTAAACCTCCTCCTTGATTTTTTTCCTTGGTTCCCTGATTGTTCAAAAATAAGTTGTTTAATTTCCATGGACTTGTGGAGTTTTTAAAGTTTCTTTTGTTACTGATTTTTAGTGTTACTGCATTGTGATCAGAAAACACACTTGATATGATTTCAACTTTTTAAAATTTATTGAGACTTGTTCTGCAGTCTAGAACATGGTCTGTCCTGGAGAACATTCCATGTGCTGATGAGAAATGCATCTTTCACAGCTGTTGGACAGAATGTTGTGTAGACATCAGTTCGTTCCATCTGGTTTAGGGTTCAAGTTAACTCTGCTGTTGCTTTTTTGATTATCAGCTCAGATGTCCTGTTCACTGCTGAAAGTGGAGCATCAACATCCTAAATTATTATTATACTGGAGTCAGCATCTTCCTTTAGAGCTGTCGATATTCACCTTAGGTATTGGGTGCATATATATGTAGAACTGCTATTTCCTCTTACAAAATTGATACTTTCAGCATTATTATTAGATGACTTTATCTTTTTATTGCTTTTGATTTTATTTGATGTGAGTAGGCTACTCCTTCTTTCTTTTGAATTCCATTTGCACGGAATATTTCATTCCATCCCCCTTTGCTTTCAATCTATGTGTATCCTTGGGAGCAAAGTTGAGTTTCTTGTAAGTAAAATATAGTTGGATCTTTCTTTATAATCCATTCAGAATCTCTATATCTTTAAATTGGAGAGTTTCTTTCATTTAAATTTAAGGTCATATTGTAGGGAAAGTCTCACTATAGCTATTATAAAACTTGTTTTCTAGTTTTTTTTTTTTTAATACTTTCTTTCTTCCTCCCTCTTCTTTGTGGTTAAGTGATTTGCTCCGGTAGTGTGTTTTGATTCCTTATTTATTTATTTTTTATTTTTCTATTATAGATTTTATTTTGTGGTTATCATCAAATGTGCAAAAAACACTTTTGATTCTAACAATCTATTTGAAATGATAGCAACTTCACATGATTGTAAAGATAGGAATAGAAACAAACAAAAGAACAAAGGAAAATATATGGTATGGTGTGGACGAGCTTCTGCCAAAGGCCCACGTAGTAAAGGTTTGGTTCCTGGCCCAAGGCACTGCTGGGAGGTGGTGGGACCTTCACAAGGTTGGCCTATTTGGAAGTCTTCTGACCCTGTAGGGGTGGGGGTCCTTGATAGGGAAACTGGGACCCTGTCCCCTGATTTCTCTCTCTACTTTACAGCTGCCATGAACAGAGCAGCCTCCTCAGTCGAGGCTCCTAACATGATGTGCTTCCTTACCACAGACCCCAAACCAGCAGGGCCAACCCCATAAGCTGGTACCTCCAAAACTCTGAGTCAGAATAAACTTCTCCCCCTTTTGAGTATCTCAGGTACTGGTTACAGCAGTGCAAAGGTAACTAACACAATATACAAGAAAACGCTACACTGGCATCCATTTCTCCCCACATTCTGAGTTTTTGATGATGTTCCATTTCACATTTTGAAGTGGTACCAGCCCACTCCCAGCAAGAGGCCCAGAGACAAAACCCTGTGCTAGCTTGCATGTTCTGTTCCCCAGTTGTGTGGGGTCCTGCTCCCTTCTCTGCTGCCCAAGTTTGGAGGAGGTCTGGTGGAGACAGTCAGCCACCTGGCTGAACCCCCTTCCCAGTTCCAGTGGTCAGTCGCAGATCCTGGCTTGGGGGTAAGGGGCATGGGGCTCCGCCCAGCACTGGATTTTACCATGGTGGGTCTGGCACGGGGTTTCCGGTCTCAAGCCTGAGTCACTTCTCTTCCCTCCCCAAAGTGGGAGGCGTCTCTTTACATTGGACTATTTGGAGTTGGGAGTGGGGGATGCAGCAACTCTTTCCTCCCCGCCTTCTTCAACACATCTTCTTGTTTTGTTGTACCAAACTCAGGCCCTCTGGGCTCGTACCTGATTTCTTTCATTCCTATGTAGGTTGTTTGGTGCATGAACATCTGCTCTGCGTGGTGTGTCTGTCAGGAGAGATCACTGGAGGGTCTGATTCAGATGCCACCTGTCTCACCTCTCAATTTCAATTGGTTGATTTTTTTCCTTATTAAAGGCCACATTTTTCTGCTTTTTTTTAATGCCTGGTAACCTTGGCTTGAATGCCAATTGTGAACTTTGCCTTGCTGGGTCCCAGATGGTCCTGTACTCCTATCAATCTTGAACTCTGTTGTGAGCTGCAGTTATGTCACCTCGAAACAATTTCTTCTTTACACTTTGCTTGGATGCTTTCTTAGGAGTGTCCAGCATGCTACTCAGTTGAAGTTTAATCATTCCCCATCACTGAGGCAAGACTCTCCAGCATGGTCTACCCATGGCCCCATACCTTATGCCAAGTTTTCAGGCTGATGACAACCAACACTATTAATGAGTCTGGATGAGCTCTAAGCCTTTTTCTTTCTATTTCTTTCCTAAAGCTCTTGACCCAGGATCAGAGCCGGGTCATGGACTAATTGAGACATTGCATCAGTGACACTGAGCTGTGGGCGGGAACAGAAGGGGGCCAGACTCCCTACCTGCAGCCACCAGGGCCAAACTGAGGTCACAAAAGCTTGATGACTGTCCAACAGAGGACCTGTCCTGATGAGATCTTCCTATTAAAATTAAAACAGTGCCTTCAAAGAAGTTCATGAAAACATCTGCTTGGAGCTATTCTGGACTTTGGTTTTGGGGGGTGTGTATTTTAGATTGAAACAAAAGGACAATTGTAGGTCACTGTCCAATTCAGAGCTCCAGAGCTCTTCTGTATCCCTGAGAAGTAGCAGCTAAACCCTCTGTTAACCCTTAGGCCTGACTACACTGAAATTAAATACTCCCTCCAACAGTCTGCTTGGGCTTCCATAAATAAAATGTCGCGGGCTGGGTGGCTTAGGCAATGAGAATTTGTCTTCTCACAGTTTGGGGAGCTGAAAGTTCATGATGAAAGTGTCGTTAGCTGGCTTTCTGCTGAATCCGTTCTTCCTGGCTGACTTTCCAGCCATGTCCCAGCATACCCCTTAATCTGTGTGCCTGTGGAGGGAGACAGCTCTCTGGTGGCTGTCCCTCTTCTTATGAAAATGCCAATGCTATCGGATTAGGGCCTCACCCTTGTGATCACCTTGAGCCTTCACTGACTCCCAAAGGCCCGATCTCCAAAATAGTCAGTTGGATCTGGGGCGTCAACATAAATGGGACGGGGCACGATTCAGTCCATAAAGCTCCCCATACAAGCACCTCAGCAGCAGAATTGCCATCGTCGCTGCCTGGCAGAGATGTTCACATGAGTCTGCTTCATTTTCTGTAGTCCAAATGACAGGGGACTCACTGTCTGGGTTCTTGGGTGCAGTGACCCTACAAGTGGGTCATTTGCTCCTCTAAACAAGCCTGCCCAGTTTCCTCCTTTGGAATCCTCACAGGGGTGGTCCTGGCAAAGCAATCGCACTGCAAATTGGTGCAGTGGCACATGCCCAGAGGCTCAGGAGGCTAAGGCCGGAGGATCGCTAGTTGGAAGCCAGCCTCCTCAATGGCAAGGTGTTAAGCAACTCAGTGAGACCCTGTCTCTAAATAAAATACAAAAAAAGAACTGGGGATGTGGCTCAGTGGTTCAGCACCCCTGGGTTCACTCCCCAGTATCAAAAAAAAAAAAAGTCCAGCTATGCAAATATGAGCACAGAAGTCCAGAGGTTGAGGCCTCATTGAAAAGAGGATGCAGAAGAGCCCAACTCAAGCTTGGCCTAGGGGAGACTCTGCCAAGAGGCATGTGCTCTTGGAGGTACCTTGAGGATGGAGGAGAACTCGATGATGGCTTCACTGCTTGCTAAGTTGCTGAGGCTGGCTTTGAATTCGCAATCGTCCTGCCTCAGCCTCCTGAGTCACTGGGATGACAGGCAGATGCCACCGCAGGTTTCCCCAGCTGGAGTCTGACCAGAATCCCCCACCCTTGATCTCTCACAGCCTCCTCCTGCCCATCCCTGGGGGATGTCGGATCACCAAGGCTTGCCTTCAGCAAGAATCCTGTTAGAGCAGTTGAGCCATGATCCTCCTTACCGCTGAGGCTTCCCCTGAGTCATTTTCCATCCAGTGAACACCCCCCACCCTGCTCTGTGGCTGTGAACCCTGACTTGTCCACACTGCAGGTCGAGCCCAGTTCTACTCTGAGGCCTGTGGCAGTACACACCTTGCATCAGTTCCAGGAACATCTGTTGTTACGGCTTTAACTGCTGTGCAGCTCTGGTTCTTTTTTAAATGCACGCACACACGCACACACACACACACACACACACACACACTGCACACGCTGTCTTTCCAGCAGCTTCTCAAAGCTGAGCAAGGGACTTTCCTCATTAGGAGCATGGAAACAACCCCCAACCCCAACTGTTAACATTTACAACTCCATCACACTAGGTGACATAAATGGCACCCACCGCAGTCTATCTGGGCCGTGCTGGACTTGGGGAGATCGACCAGCAGCCTCTGGACCTGGGCCAGGGTTCTGAAGGCCTCCTCCATCTCCTTCCAAATGAGAAACACGTCTTCTCTGACTCCAGCCCCTAGAAAGGGAAACACAGCGTGAGCGGCCACCTGAGACAGGCTTGGGAGCTCTCCTGTGGTCCTAGCAGGCCTGGCATGGTCCAATCAAGTTTCTAGAACATTCCTGAACATCCAATTCCATGTTGCCACTAAGCTGTCTCTGAGAATCAAAACTGAAATCCCCAAGGAAATGCTGTCACCTTCAGAAGGCACGGACACAGACTTTAGGATGCAATAAATTGTTGTAAGCTGAGTATTTGTAGCAGCCAAATAGTTTAAGATACATTATGGAAAGCATAAAAACAGTCCACAGCACCTCACAAGCCAGGTGTGGTGATGCACGCCCATAATCCCAAAAATGTAGAGGCTGAGACCAGAGGATTGCAAGTTTGAGGCCAGACCCAGCAACTTAGCAAGACCCTAAGAAACTTGGTTGAAGCCCTGTTTCAAAATAGAAAAGAAAAAGGGGGATGTAGTTCAGGGGTAAGGCATTCCTGGGTTCAATCCCCAGCACTGAAAAAACAAAGCCAAGCACCTCATAAAGCCAGGGTCACCCTTGTGAGGGAGGGAGATTCAGGAAGAAGGACGCAGTGGTCTCTGATGCTTTCCAAACCTGACTGAGATTTTCTGCTTCTTTGAAACCAGCTTCACTAGTTTTCCCTCTACTCTAACATCATGGTGAGCCTTTGACCTCCTTTTTTGGACTTCTGCTGTCTGACTAACGGGTTAGTTTTCACTATGACACTTGTTTTTTAATGAAGTAGCTTAATCTAGAATTTGTATCTCTCAGTGAGTCAATCCCAGTTCATTGCACATGGGGCTGGGATGAGGTTCTTCCTTTCTCAAGGTCCAGACTAACAGATCAGTGGTTCCCAGAGATTGAGAGAGTACAGAGGCTGGGGACAGATGGGTGTGACAACAAAAGTGCAACATAAAAGCCGGGTGTGGTGGCTCATGCCTATAATTCCAGCAACTTGGAAGGCTGAGGCAGGAGGATTGCCAAGTTTGAGGCCAGCCTCAGCAACTTAGTGAGACCCTAGGCAATTCAGCAAGACCCTGTCTCAAAATAAGAAATAAAAAGGGTTGGGGATGTGACTCAGTGGTTAACACCCCTAGAATCAATATTCAGTATCAAAAAATTAAAATTAAAGTGCACCACGAGGGATCTGAATTGCATCAAAGTCAAGACACTGGTCTGATGATGGTCTCAACTTTTGCAAGATGTTATTAAGGGTGAGCAGGGACAAGGATACTTGGGTATCTCTATCATTTCTCTCTCTCTCTCTCTCTTTTACTTTTTATAATTGAATATGAATGTACAAGTATCTCAAAATTAAAATTAAAAAAAGATTTAAATCCATGGTCTTTCTACCATGCTGCTGCACCATCCCAGCTCATCCTCCCCATCCTCAGAGTTTCCTTGGGATTCAAGGTGGCCTCAGGATGCCAAGCACAGGTCCATGTTGGGGTCCAGAGGCAGAAGGGCCCACAACCACACCCCTGATGGAGTCAGGTCTCTTGGGCGCCTTCCCCTGGGCCCAGCAAGAGCTTCACTGCATCAGTACCAGCGCCTCTCCCGGGGCCCCTCTGGTAAGGGACCCCCGGGGGGGGGGAGCTTCGTGGTGGACCCACCGCAGCCCCCGACAAAACTGGGCAAACCTAAGGATGGGGGCGGATCTGGGTGGGTGCCCTGCCGCCTCCCCTGAGGCCTGTTGGGCTGCATCAGCGGCCTGGGCCTCAGCGACTAGAGCAGACGGCACCCGCACAGCCACGTTGTGGGCCAAACAGCGCGGCCCCCTCACTGCCGGCTGTGCCCTTGCCCCTGTGAGAGGGCGGAAGGAGTCCTTCACGTCCCACTGTCAGTCAAAACCCGTGTAGAGTTTCTTTCTTTCTTTCTTTTTTCTTTTTTTAGCATTTTTACTGGCTCTTTTCAGTTTACATGACCATGGAATTTACTACGACATAATTAAAGTCATGAAACATAATTTGCTCTAATTCAGTCCCCAGAACTTCCCCTTCCCCTCATTTCCTCCCATCTCTACCGGCTTCCCTTCACGGGTCTTTCTGGTATTTATAATTTTTTTAAAATGAGTGTCTTGTGGATGTACAAGATGGTGAGATTCACTGCGGTGTGTTCATCTATGCACATAGGAAAGTTATGTCAGGGTCATTCCTCTGACTTTCCCTATTCCATCTCCCCTCCCTTCCCTTCATTCCTGTTTGTCTACTCCTTGGATCTGTCTTCTAGTCTTTATTATCCTCCTCTGTATTTTGCATTAGCTTCCACGTATCAGAGAGAACATTCGGCCTTTGGTTTTGGGGGACTGACTTATTTAACTTAGCATGATATACCCTCCAGTTCCACCTATTTACCAGTAAATGCCATTATTCCATTTTTCTTTGTGACTGAGTAATATTCCGTTGTGTATAGATAGCACATTCTCTTTATCCATTCGTCTGTTGAAGGGCACCTAGGTTGGTTCCATAGCTTAGCTGTTGTGAATTGAGCTGCTATAAACATTGATGTGGCTGCATTACTACTGAATGCTGACTTTAAGTCTTTGGGGTACATGCTAAGGAGTGGGATAACTGGGTCAAATGGTGGCTCCATTCCAAGTTTCCTGAGGAATCTCCACACTGCTTTCCATAGTGGCACCAGCAGTGTATGAGTGTGCCTTTTCCCCACATCCTCACCGAAATTTATTGTTACTTGTATTCTTGATAATATTCTAAAGGGAGTGAGATGAAATCTCAGTGTAGTTTTAATTTGCATTTTTTTTATTTGCTAGATACATTGAACATTTTTTCCTATATTTGTTGACTGATTGTATTTCTTTGGTTGAGAAGTATCTGTTTGATTCCTAGTAAAATTTCTTCCAAGTAAGGCAAAAAGGAAGGACAATCACTGAGGGGCTGTCACAATGCTATTCTTGCCCTCACCAAGCCAAGCTCTGGCACCTCTTGGCCGGAGCCTGCTGTGTGCAGGAGAACCAAGGAGACTCCTGGAGGCAACCGTGGTGGGTCCCCACCATTTTCAGTGACATCCTCGGCCCAGCTACCAGCTGAGCACTACTTAGCTTCGAGGGGTTATGGGAGTCCCTACTCTGGGATTTGCTTCTAATAAATATGATCTTGCAGAAAAGAACTCAGCAGATGTGTTCTCTGGTTCTAAAAACTCCATTCCAGTAAAATGTTTTTTAAAGCACAAAACTAAACCCTTCTTTTCCACAGAATTCACATTGGCTCAGAGCCCACCGGTGATATCATCATTAAAGCCAAGAGCTGGGTCCAAACTCTTCAAGGACGAACACCGTCCTTGCTGGGGTACCTGGTCTCTGCCTGGGCTCGGGTCCTTCTAAACGTTTTTTCATTTCTCCTCACCACAGCTCTGAAGGCAAAATCTACTTGCACCCATTGTATGGCCAAGCAAACTGGAGTAAATGGTCCAAGGTCACAGCAAAAACAAGGGGCAGAACAGGGAGTGAAACCCATGTGGGTGGGACATCACCAACCTTGCTGCCCTGTAAGGTTGCCCTGGAAACAGGATGGATGTTCAGAAAGGGGTCCTGCACAATTATCAAGAATACAAGCAACAATAAATGCTGGTGAGGATGTGGGGGAAAAGGCACACTCATACGTTGCTGTGGGACTGCAAATTAGTGCAACGACTATGGAAAACAGTGTGGAGATTCTTCAGAAAACCTGGAATGGAACCACCATTTGACCCAGCTATCCCACAGCTTGGCATACCAAAGGACTTAAAATCAGCATACTACAGGGACACAGCCACATCAATATTTATAGCTGCTCAAAAATTCATAATAGCTAAGCTATGGAACCAACCTAGGTGCCCTTTAACAGATGAAGGAAAAAAGAAATTGTGTTATATATACACAATGGAATATTACTCAGCCTTAAAAAAGAATGAAATTATGGCATTTTCCAGGAAATGGATGAAACTGGAGACTATTATGGTAAGCAAAATAAGCCAATCCCAAAGAACCAGAGGCCAAAGGTGTTCTCTGATATGCAGATGCTAATTCATAATAAGGCGAGGCGGGAGAGATAGTGGTATTTTGGACTAAACAGAGAAGAGTGGAGGGAGGGGAGGGAATATGGGGGTAGGAAGTCTAGTAGAATGAATAGATCATTATTACCCTATGTGCATATATGATTATATGATCTGTGTAACTCTACATCATGTACAACCGGACGAATGAGAAATTATACTCCAAGTATGATGCGTCAAAAAACATTCCACTGTCATGTATATTAATTATAACAAATAAAAAATTTTAAAAAATAATTCAAGATTTCAAAAAGTAGTCCCCCACCAGTAGTTGAGACCCCTCTGACCAAGCCGATCTCCATAATAGCTCACGGATGCCTGATAGCTTAGAACCACAGAGAGCAAGACCACCATTGGGTCTAGGGGGCACTAGAGCCCAAGGACTAACCCCAAGCCACCAAGACGGACTGAGGCACACCAGGGTGGATGTTTCTGACTTTCAAAGTGTAGCCAATAAGGACAGGGCAGGAGCAAAGGCAGGTTGGGGCTCAGGCCCTCCCAAAGTTGGCTAGATCAGATGAGAGGGTATTAATAGCTCTGTTCATGAAGAAGCAAGGGACAAGTCCTGACAGAGATGGATGGCCAGCACAGCTCGCAGACAGCCAGGGCCCAAGAAGTGAAATGTTATGTGTGCTGAGCCCAGAGTTGGAACTCCCAAAATAGCTCTCACAGCTGCCAAATGCAAACCTTAAGCCCTCAGGGCTTCTGTGCACCCGTAAGACCAAGAGTGAGGTACAGCCGCCCGCCTGTGCCTGGAGGTGTTGAGTAGCAGGATTCTCTTTAAAAGTTTCAAATGAGACAAGGCTGTCCTCTAGATTCATGGACAACATCTTAAAAGCGAGTGCACCACAGGTCGGCATCAAAGGACACATTTCCAAGGAAATGCAGTTTGCTCTTGATTATCCAGGAATAGGAAAGTGCATCTCAGGAGCAGGGGACCAGCTCCCGGTG